GTGGACACGGTCATAGTTCGCAACCTGAACGGTCATCGAAGAGGACTGGCGGATTGGGCGCTTTCTTGCATTCAATCTGACTTGCGCCACAGAATCGCGAGACGTCCAGGATCTGAATGGCTTGATGGACAATGCCGAGTGGCTTTCAACAGCGTGATTCGATGTGATGAAGGAGGATGGGTGCTGATCGAGGACCTGATCCGACACGAAGAGCTTTGGACCCATGAAAGCAGGGGCATCACCGAAAGTGCAAACCATCGTGACCCTGAACATCGACGGAGGGTGTACAATGAGAGACTGCAGCTACTGTTCCAGGGAAACATGTTGGCGGCTACGAAAAGGCACAGAGCCAAAATCCGGCTTCAGTTCTTGGGCGTGAGGGTGAAGGATCCTGGTGGTGGACCTCTTGGATCTGCATTTACGAACAGACTGGTTTCTGTACGTGATCAAATCACTGAAATCCAGAACAGCAACAGTAGCCGACCCAATCAACAGTACTTGCACCAATGCAATAGCTGGGTCAAGCCGTGGGCGGTACGCGCTACAAGTGGTCACTCTACGCACTCGAATCCCCAGAACAACTTGCTACAGTTGGACAAGGACAGGTTCGCAATATCTCCATCTATGACCCTTCTGGGACGCCTAGGAGGAGCATTTCACGCGACGGCATGCCGCAACCTGGATTCCATCGTGCTTCAAGGCATCATACCTGGTTCGGAGGACCCCGACGGGGACTTCGACCAGCGCCGCCGAGGGCGGAACGACAGGGGAGGTCGACTCCACAGTTACTGGGGGGTATTCGCGCCGTTTGACTCAAGAAATGCAACAACGAAGACACGGGTGCATGGTCCGGAGGCCAAGCATATGCCATTGGCAGTTTTGCATGTCGCCTCCAACGATCTTGCCCGAGAAGGTGGGCGTATCACTGACAGTGGTGTCATCATGGTCGGCCGCCCAATCTCGTTTGCATTTGTCAAGGAGGTTTGGTTCTGCGTCCCTGATCCTCGAAACACGTATGGCTTTGCGCTGATCGAGAAGATCTACGATGAAAGATTGGAAAGAGAAATGGTGTTGGACTATCAGGGGTCAACATCCAAATGCACGACGTCCTGACGCTCTACAACATATTCTGCCATCGGAGTATCTGCAGCAAGGACAAACGTCCATCATGGACACACCCGTCACCGCAGGTGAATCATCAGGTGCTGCCGCTTCCAGCGCCGCTCCTCATGCCCGACCAAATGCAGGTGAAGAACATGGAGGTTGGAATGCCAACACTTACCATGACTACATCGCCGGCAAAGGGAGGAACAGAGGACGGAACCAAGGGAAGGGCAGATCTCCCTGTCCCGAGGAAAACCTCAGGCCCTGGGAGAACAATCCCGAACGCACACGCCAATGGTGGAGGGATAACACCTGAGCTATTATGTGATCGTCGACGTGACCTCTTTGCATCGCCCATGTGATTCCTCGCGATTGCTTTCTTCTTTGGTGACGCCTGATTCGTTTGTCGTTTCAGGGGATCGTCACTGACGTAGCGGAGTGTCACATCATTTCTAATTGGGACCGAAGGCTCTAATTTTCAAACTTCAAAGTTGCGGCGGACTAATCTCTAGAGTTCCTATCGCGCTATTTCCGGTGAGCAGAGTCGGAGACGCAACTCATGGGGGGTGCGAACGGACTTCGATGCCTAGTTAAATCCTATGGTATCACGATAAGAGTTGTGAGCATGGCCGTGTATAGGTCAACATTGGGGGAACGCTACGCGTCCCTCGTTCCCGGTTAAGCTAGCGGCAGTGCTACGCACGCCGTGGTGCTTTACCAGTCTTTTCTGACTTCCGCCAATCGCAACTTTGGCTCAAGTGTGAGCACATGCACTAGAATGCATATGCCCATAGCGAAAGCTTTTCGTTCTTTGTGATTCCTCGAGATCAGAGCCTTGTCCCGTGCACCGACTTCACACTGCCGGCCGCAGAGTGGAAAAGGAAGCTGCGCGGAATCTGCTTGCACAGGGACAAAGGGACCAGAGTGGGAGAGAAGGGAGCAGTTGTGATCGTGTACATGAAGGGCAACCACACTATTCATACAACAGCTCTGTGGGGTGAGCAATACGGGCAACAACACGAACAAATCCCCACGCATACATACATATATATATATATATATATATAACACACATAGATATATGCATATTTTTGTATTGAGGCGTTCGCGATATGTACCGGGTTTGTGTGTGCAGAGCTGCCCTCGCCAAAGCCTTAACGACAAAACCCGACCCTGCAGGAAAAGATGGCGGCAAGGGCTCGCATGGTGGTGGCTTGATTCCAAAGGACTGCTCCGCGATTTCTTTGGGTTTTGTGTGGTTTTCCTCAGGGATCAGCATGTTTCCGTTCCAGGTCACGCTTTTGATTCGCCCGAGGAGGGTCCAGTAGGTACATGCTGCATGTTGTGTTTTTGTGCAACTCGCCCCTCGCCACGGCCAGATGCTGTGGAAGGATGAAAGTTTCACTGCTTCAAAACTGCCCCCGAGAGTCATGAGAGTGGAATGATCACTTTTGTCCAGTTCTACATTCAGTCTTACAACCTTCGACTTGCGAAAGTTCTCGGCAGAGGGCAGCAGCCAGCTCCGAAATTCAAAGCAGATGGTGCCAGGAAGTGTTCTCCGAGCCTTAAATGCCAAGGCTGTGATCTGACATTGGTCGCGGCATCAAATGTACGTGTTCGGGACGGCATGGTCCACGGACCTTAGCGGTAAGTCTACACTGCGGGTGGTTGCAGAGGTAGAAACAGCATTCCTGTATTAAGTTAGAGGTCTTGTGCCCAACACCTTGCGTCTCTTTTCCCCTACGCCGCCTGCAGCTAGCTGGGGTTTCCTTAAGCCATGAATCCTAAGCCATCTTAAATCCTCAAATCCGCAAAACCCCAAAAGTCCAAGCCTAAACCCTGCACCCCAAACCCTAAACCCCTAAACCATAAAGCCTCCCTAACCCGAAACCCTTAAACCCTAAACCCTCAACCCTCGAATGCCTCAAAGCCTTGGAGGATGTAACGCTGTTTCAGAAGTCGCTTCTGGACTTAAACCAGCAGGACCGGATCACAGTGTTCGGGGTCTCGATCTTTTGGGTGTAACTAAGGTGCGTATGTGTACATACCTATATATAGATGTTAGTTAATTACTGTTAGTTATATACACTTAATGTATGTGTATGTATATATATATATACACACATACATACATACATACATACATACATACATACATACACAGACATGCACATTTTAGGCATGAGTTCTCTTGGTATAGCGTTGCCATTTCTGCGTGATGTATTCATGTGTCTCCGCTTAGTTGTTTGTTTTGGTTCATGATGATAAGTAGCTCAGTATCGAGGCTCTGAGTTGTGGGTGCAGGGAGTCCGAGTTGCGTGGGTTTTCGAGTTAGTTGGTATGTTCATTGAGCATAACATGTGTCAGAGTCCCCAGAGTCTTACGACCTACGAAGACCTATAAACCCCAAACACCGTCAAGCCCCGGAACCCAAAACCCAAATCCTGAGAAGAGTGTATAATCTCGCCTCACAGTAGACTAAAAAAGCCCGAAAGACACCCTAGCTGAAACCTTAAAACCCTAAACCTCAGTAATAAACCCTTACAGCACCCCAAATCTCAGAAGGTGCTCGACGATGAGAAGTGTCGAAGTCGTCCGACAAAGGACCGAAAGGCCGAAGCAAAAAAATAAGCCATGAACGCAGAGGTTGTTTATCAACAACGTCCCCAATTGTCAGTCAAACTTTGCAAGTGCAAAGCGATCCGCTCATTGGAGTTCGTTGCTGGGACCAGGAGGTCCTGGTGGTGCTAAAGCACCTGCTCCTGGTCCGAAATGACCTCCTCCGGCCAAGCTGGATCTGCAAAGCACGATCCCGAGCTTGAGGTTGGAAGACTGTTTGCGGAGACATCTGACCGGCACGAACCCTACCGGCCTCGGAAACCAGCATCACCAGACCGCCTGCGACAAGCGAGGCCTTTAGCAGCACGCGTCTGACAGAACTGACAAAGCCGAAGTTCAAGACGAGACTGTACTGGACATGGGGAATGCGCGGGCCAAAAAAATCACGAAATCACAGTGCAATTGCCATGACGCAGATTGATTGCCTTTTCGAGCAGATCGAGAGCCGTTTCCGAGACCCGGTTGAGATACGATCGGGGCAAGGACCGCATGCTAAGAGATTTTCGTGCCATTGTGAGACAGAACCAGTGGCACATGGAAAGACAGGGAACAAACAAGCATGGATCTTACGAGATCCTGATGAGAGACAAGGAGTCGCGCTTCAAGTATGGGACCCATTATGAGAAAGGAGACACAATCGACAACAGGGGGAAGGCCCGAAAGAAAGTGTTGAACAACACGACCATTTGGGATGCTCTTCCGGACGATCAGAAACCTGCCAAGCGTTTCCGCAAGAACGCAAAGCAGTACATCGAAGACTTCGAGAACTTGCCGGAGCTATTGCAAAATTTTTGGAATGAACCGTGACCTACAATTCGCCACTACGATAGGGCGGGCAATCCACAAGTAAACAGAGGGCTCAGGCGTTCGAAGCATGCCACGTGAGGCCGCATGTGAACTACCTCGTCGTGATAGCCTGCATGGACATGCGACAAAATCATGTCTTAACATATGCTTTGTGGTTTTTGTGATGTGTTGCCCTCGCAGTATGCTGCGGCCCGTGGTCACGGCGAGGGTCTTCGTCATTGCAAGCCCTTCTTTGTGAGCCTTACCACGGACATTTCACACGTGCTTTCCTGTAGCCTAGCAGCGGCTCATCCCCGGATGTGTCCAGCCAGACATACATTCTTCGGATCTTGGAAGTAGGCTTCTTACAGCAGGTCGACTGTGGCAATCGGCGCTTAGGTTTACACCAAAATCCAGAGTGCAACCAAAATGCAACAAACAAGAGCAAGCCGGGTATTGTGCCTTGATGGACGGGCCTTTCGAATATCGTGATGCGATGCGACTCGGGTGGTGCTGATGGTGCTGAGAAAAGCAGCGCGGGTGAATTGGCGGACTGTATCCAGCAGCTTGCAGTCTATGCAGCCTGGCATGCTGCAAACCTGCGATCCTTCTTGTGGCCACTTGGAATTGTCGATTCATGTCTCAAACACGGCCAAACACAATAGCACCCGAAGCCAAGACTAAACCCTTTAGGCTACACCCTAAACTCCTAAACCCTCCAGCGTCCGCCTCGGCCCGGCTGTAATTGAGGCTGGTGCACTGTTTTCGGAAAGCAACAGGTCAGGTCACGCAGCTGAGGGGAGGTCTTGAGTGAATCAGAGCATTTGCCTCAGACTGTTTTCACGAGCTAGCGTAGCGAGGCTTTCCTGCGTCAACCATGCCTTGGCATGAAATTCACGAATGACGTAAGCCAGCCCGATCGGCCAACCTGGCCACGAGGAAAAGCAAGGGATTCGGGGAGGGAAGGAGGGGGCAGGGGCTGGGGGGCGGCGAAGGCAAAGCTAAGGAGGGCTGCGTTACTGGGTTGAAATCCCGAATGCTAGTTCATGTGCAGAGCCCTCAGGTCTTCAGCAGATCGTGACAAGCAGAAGGCGGAAGCTTTGGCGCAGCAGCTGGAAGGGCTGATGCCTGCAGCCGAGGCGCAAACCATCAAGGCCAGTAGGGCTCCAAAAGGGTTGCTAGGGTTCTATATTTTGAATTTACGGCTCAGGAAATCGGGAATGATCGATGTGTTTGAGTGTAGGGTTTGGGGCGGGTTCAACGTTTCGGGACACCAGCCCAACCGACTGCTATCTCGTCATGACGAAGGCTTTGGCCTTTCGCGCAGCCTGGTTTACTGCCAACCAGCGCCGGTTCAACTTTGCTGATGCTGCTGAAGACCAAAGGGCAGTAGAGTTCTATGCCGACCTACTGGCGAGCCTGACCAACCCCGAGCTGGCGAAGAACATCAAGCCTCTTGTCAGCGTAAGGGGAAGACTGCTAGAGCTAGTCGTGGACGTAGAGAAGGCCCTGAAAAAGAAGAGAGAAGAAGCACGACTGTAAGCACTGTAACAGAAGGAAAGCAAGCCAAGACAGTTTGTCAGCCCCGAGCCATTTATTCAGGAGCTGGAATCCATGTAGACTTTCTTCTTTCCTTGAGCGAGTGTTTGAGAGCGAGGGTGTGGATGCGAGGCAGTTGCAGAGTTCACTTCAGCACTGGTATCCACCCCTGCTCACTGGGGCGAGCCAGTGGAATCTGCGAATGCTGAAAGCACGAAAATTGACGGGAGTGGAGACTTTGAATGGTCTGTCCGTCGTGACGTTCATGCCAAGAAAAATTAGAATCTGCAGGCCTTGGATATGAAAGGCAGCCACTTCGGAGCAGTTTTGGAGAACTTTCTCCGATCCCCTCTCACCTGAGGTCTTTGTCGTTGAATGCTTCCTGGCATGCGGCCAACACCCGATCAATGCTGTGGAGAGATGCCCGCGAGGTCGGTCCTCAAAGCTTTCTGCCTCCTCAGGATAAGGATTAGTCCAGGGGACGTTTTAACGGTGCCTTTGAGGGATATGGTCAGGGATGCCCAAGGGCTACTATGTGTTGCAGGATGCCTGCCGCTTCGAGCGCGACTGCTCGCATCTGGCCTAGAATGATTGGGCATCGGGATGGGTTGAGGGCTTTGTTTACGAGTACATGCTTCGCACCAGAAGAAATCCTTGAAATCAGGAAGCTGGCGACGCTGCTCCGGCCCCTGTCAGGGAGGCAGCAGCCGGAGAACGAGGACGGGGAGGAGAGCGAAGGATTCCGGACCCCCCGAGAAACGGAGGAGGCGACACCCACGGCGCTGCGGCGATGCGACTCCGTGTTGGACGAGATCGTCGTAGCCTGGCAAGCCGTGAAAGTCTCCGATGGTTCAACGGAGGCCTCGAGCTTCTGGGTTGTGTGTTAAGGACCAGGAGCTCAGTTTGATTGACCATAATCAGGAAGCCCCAGTATGTACGATAATGGATCTCCATTATGGTAACTTAAATGAAGCTCCTTCGCAAGAGCCCAGGCTTCCTTTCTGCGGCCTCAGTTACGGTCATGGTCTTCGACGTCTTTGGGAAGCTCCTCCAGGGCTTCCAGGCAGACATGCGCAAGAACATCGAGATGGTCCAGCAGCACGTCAAGGGCGAGATCTCCCTGGAGCCGGGATGTGGGGTGGGTTGAGGGGAAGGCTGCAGGTTGCCTCACAGGTTGGTACAGGATCTAGAGAAGCTGACAGATGGTTTAGAAATTTAGAAATCATGAAAAGGAACAGTGGAACCGCTATAACACTTTAATGCAAGCCTGCCTTGAAGGCCTTCCGGCCTTTTGAAGGAGAAGCTCGTCGACGATGAAGCCAAGGCTGAGGGCTCTCATGCGAAGGCCCTTCGAGAAGGCAACGCCTCCATGGGCTTGCTCTGGCTGCCAGGAAGCACCAGCGGAATGTTCAGTAGTAAAGTAGTACACATTACATTGTTGTCATCAAGTAGTATATTGATGAACATATATATATATATATACACACACATCTTTAAATTTGCTTGTGATGCGTACGAATGAGTCCAGTTGAATGTTGTAAACTATTTATCTGTTTATGCATACGCGCACACACACACACACTCCTGTGGATATGTTCATGTGGGTATCTTGCATGCATTTGTACAGTCCTTATTGACGGGGATGACCAAGACCGAAAAGCACATGAATAACAGCACCCTGCCGCGGCAGCCAAACGAAATACACAACAGCAGTTGATGCGGTAACTACAAGTGACTGTGTGGCGATAGCAGAGCAACGATCGGACGAGAGAGTCAGCAGGGGGCGATAGTATGCTGATTTGTATATTTCTTGCCGAGCCTTTGAAAACTTCAAACGTATAGATAGCGAAGGGATCAAACACCGCAGTTTGCCTTAGTTCTTCCAGATAGAGATGAAGAAGTGTTTCAGCTCTCTGGGAGACGCGTGAAATCTTGTCTTCATGCTCAGCCCTAAACCCGAAACCCTAAACTGCCGAACAGGCTTAATCCCATCCTTTGACGTATCTGTTATCTGTCTCACAATTGAAGTATCATACGCGGCCGTGGCACCTATAAAGCAGGTTCAGCGAGAAGGAGCCAACACCGATCTATGGTCGGAGGAGTCGGAGTAGTGACGGCAACTCCCTAGCCTCCCAACGCCCAACCCAAGCCCCGAACCTCCTCCAGCCTCAGCGAAACGCCGCCGAGGCTGTCCCGGAGCCTTCGCCTCCTCCAGACCATGTTGGGCAAGCTGGACGCAGGGATTCTCATCTCTAAAGTTCCCGAACATAGAGCCCCTGAAACAACGGCCTTTCTCAGCCCATAACTTGTTGTGATGTTTTACGGTTTCTCTTTCCAACACGACTGCAGCTGTTGCTATCGGTACTCTCAGTGCAATCAATGCTATCACCATCGTCCCCACCGTCACCACTATCGCCACTGGATTTCGGAGGGCTTTCTGCGAAAACTCGAACTTGGATGGGGGGGAAGCTTTTCCGGGCAGGATGACGGCGTTGTTTCGGGGGCACCCCGAGCAATATCTGCACACCTTCGCGCGCACGCGCACACACCACACACTACTTCACAAGCAAATCCTCCAACGCTGAGGTCTGGGCTTTAGGGGTGCCCCTCCACATACAGCTGGCATTTTGATTTTGATGTTTATAAGATGTTGCGCTTCAGGTTTTAGGAGTGTTAAAACGTTCTTGGCAGCACTTGTGTTTTGCACGCTATTTACAGCAATTTACAGCGTTTTCGCGCTATCCGACCACCTGTGGTTTAGCAGCTTCTTCCCCGTCGAGTTTCAAGAAAAAGTGCGGTGGCTGGGTGCCCCCAGACAACAATTTAAGCTCCAACAACACACTTTCCGCCAACACTTCCGCACTTACATCAAACGAAGAAAAGAATGCCGTCGCGGCGTGGTCCACAAAAACTCGTAACCATACTTTCGAGGACCGGAGCTGGCCCCCGGAGCAAAGCCTTCAGCAACACCTGCAACAAGCAACATGCATTCTGAATTCTTATTGCTCTTAAAGGTTGGGTCCCTTGTTGGGCCCGCGCCTACTACTACTACTACTACTACTACTGCTACTACTATTACTACTACTAGTACTACCACTACCACTACCACTACTACTACTACTACTACTACTACTACTACTACTACTACTACTACTACTACTACTACTACTACTACTACTACTACCTACTGCTACTACTACTACTACTACTACTACTACTACTACTACTACTGCTACTGCTACCTCCTACTACTACTACTACTACTACCTACCTACCTACCTACCTACCTACCTACCTACCTACCTACCTACTACTACTACTACTACTACTACTACTACTACTACTACTACTACTACTACTACTACTACCTATACCTACCTACCACTACTACTACTACTACTACTACTACTACTACTACTACTACTGCTACTACTACTACCACTACCACTACTAGTAGTAGTAGTAGTAGTAGTAGTAGTAGTAGTAGTAGTAGTAGTAGTAGTACTACTACTACTACTACTACTACTACTACTACTACTACTACTACTACTATTACGACTACTATTCTACATCTGCTATTTCCACGACTACGACTACGACTACTACTGCAACTGGTACTGCGACTGCGACTGCGGCTGCTACTGCTACCACTGCTGCTACTGCTACTGGTACGGCTCCTGCTACTGCTACGGCTATTGCTACTACTGCTGCTGCTGCTGCTGATGACATTGCGACTGCTACTGCTACCGCTACTGCTTCTCAAGTTAGTTGGAGGAAGCGGTTGTTCTGATCTTCGATTCGTCTTGGGTAGTTCGAGGAAGGCGCATGCGGCTCCGCTGTCCCTGAGCCGTTGTATCCAAGCTGGCTACGAGACGTCTCTGCGGCCTCACCACAACTTCGTGACACGCCAGGTCATCAGCGACCCTGCAGCATGTGCAAAAGTGGGCTGAATCAGGATATCAATCTCCCCATGGTAGCGTGACCTACACCGCTGTTCGAGTTGTCATCCTTAACCTTACGAGCTCCATATTATGTGTTCAACGTGGTTGGAACTTCATGAAAAGTCACTCGGAAAGGGCAGGGTCACAGTGCGGAGAAGTGGAATGGAAGAGCACCATGGCCATGGCATGCCTAGCACTTCTAATCATGCTACTGGAAGTTGTTTTGGCAATCCATGGTGAGCCGTCTTCGGACATGTCCAACAGTGTCCAACCATCGAGCTTCACCATCTTCCTGCTCCGTACTGTGATTCACAAAGGTGTCTGTGTATTGCTTCTATGGCGATGTTGTTCGCATGACAGTTAACCCTAAACCCTAAACCCTAAACCCTAAGCCGTCGTCGTCGTCGTCGTCCATCCGCCTGGTCGGCCTCTTCCGCCTTGGCGGTGGTAGCGGCAATGGTAGTGGCAGTGATGGTGGTATTGGTGGTGGTGGCAGCAGGACTACTACTACTCCTCCTGCTGCTGCTGCTGCTGGCACCGGTCCTCGGTAGTGCTGTTAGTGTGCTACCAAAGACTACTGTGACTACTGCTGCCTTGCTACTCCTGCTACTCCTGCTGTTGGTTTTGCAGCGCAACACGAAAAGGTGAGTGTCCCGACGCCCTGCCCAAAACTCCAGAGCCTTGGCTTTGCTTCAAATCTGTCCAAGGTGCTGCGCTCCTGGCGGCCCCGTCGAGGACGGAGTTCCTGGCGAAAGTGGGCGGCTTCGGTGGCGATGCCAGTGGGGACGGTTTGGGATTGGAGCAGGCCGCGGCTGCGGCCACGGCCAAGGTCACTGAGCTCCTGGAAGCCTTCACCCCGCCCCTCTCTCAGGTTTGCACGCACCTGCGAAGCCGCGGCATCGAGAAGCCCTGAAGAGCAGGGACCTGGCTTTCCCGAGACAGAGAAGGGGGCCGAGTTTCGTCTTCCACTGCCAGACGGTCCACAGCTCCAGGGAGCAGAGCACAACATCCGGAAGGTGGTCCGCGACGCGCGGAAGAAGTCCGTGTTGAAGCAGCTGGCATCTGCAAAGTCGACCGGCGTCCAATCGGAGTGAAGATAGTGAGACGCTCGACATGGGCATAGCAGTCCGCAGAGAAGTTTCACATGCATGCGTGTGAAAGAGCTTGATTCCGATTTCAATACAAGCCGGGCTTAATGAAGTTTCCACAGCGCTTGCCGAGCAGACGCACGGACGCGGTTTGCATTAGACCATTTGTCCGACGGCAGCTTCACGTGAATGTAATCCCCGGATGGCTTGCTTTTGTAATCTCTCGCAGACAGCATCCCGAAGCTTGCAAAAAGGCTGGGCAGCTTGTGTGTTCTTCCATGTTGGGTGCTAGGCGTCTCCTGAGCTTACCGCTGCCGCAGAGTGCACTCTGCTTCATGAGCCGTTTAGGTTTAGAGAAGTGTACAGTCTCTCGCAATCTGCGAGCGTAGGATGGCCGCGAAGGTGAGACACCCAGCCTGTTGCAGATGTTGCATCCACGCTTGCAAAAGCCACGCAGTGATTGACAGGCGCCCAATGCCATTCTTTTCGGCACCGGCGAATACACCACAGGCTTAACACCCTCGGGACAGGCCCAGATGCATCTTCTGGAGCTTTTTTGTCGCCAGTTTTTGGTCCCCTTCCGTCGACTTCGCGCTGCAGGCGAAGTCGGACAAGTCGCTCGGCGTTGCCGTGGCCCGAGGTTGCCGGGTTTCAGGGTTCTGCACTTCCCGCCACTGGCAGACATGGCATTCGACCCAAGCTCAGATGCAAAGAGAGCTTCAGGGTGTAGGGTTGAAGTTAAAAAGTGTAAACCAAGCATCACAATAAAAGTTGTTGTCACAAAAGGTAGTTGGCCATAATAACAACTTCGGACCTAGTACCAGCAACGACATTCGCTTTCACAGTAAGAGCGTCTTTAGTGGTATTGCTGATGCTGCAGCCACTGAACATACAAAGCTGACACTCAGATTTGATGAATGCCGAGCATGCTAGCTCTGCTCCTTGTGGGCGAGTTGTAACAACTGCAAAGCAATCACACTGGCAGCAAGCGCCACCTATCGCCAGCGCCAGCGCTGGCACCTTCAACCTTGGATCCAAAACACGGTCACTTGCTCGAGGTTGCGTTGACCTTCTTCGACCTCCGTGCGAAAGGGAAAATAGGGCTGGGGGCTCTGAACACTTTGTGTGAGCTTGGCGCTGAAGAGTCCGTTCCCGTCTTTCAGGGATCGCATTGCCATGGTCGGAACCAACGGGGACAAAGAGCCCAAGATCAAGGAGCACTTCAGGCCAGTGCCGCCAGCTTTCTCCTGCTTCCGTGTTGCTTCGCTTCCTTGAGTGCCACGGTTACAGGAACCCTAAAACCCCTAAGACCCCTAAACGATGCGCTGCGCGCCAGTCGCAACCTGACCTTTCCGAACATTGGCAGCAAAGAGCCCGGCTCCCAGGGCTGCTCCATGGAGCCTCCTAGACCGTAGCACCGGGGCGGAGCGGAGCGCAAGCGGAGCCGAGGTTTGAGTTCTTTCCCAAAGAAGGCAAGAATCCGAAGGCCCGTGAAGAAGCTTGAAGACGGAGCATGCGAGGGATACATGGTCATCTGTTTTTCGTGCAGGCGTACCTTGATGCCATCAAGGCTTTTAAGCCGGGAGATGTTTGCACCGTGTCTGCCTGTCATGTTTATCGGCTTGCTGTTGGAGATTTCACGCCCTTGCTGTGAGCTTGCTCGGGCGCGGCGCAAGTTTTGGCGAAGTTCAGGTTCACACCTGATGACACGCACTTTGACTCCTGTATGCAAGCAGCTGCAGTGCTCGCCGCTCGCCATGTTTCTTCTGAACGCTCAGGAAATCTGCAAGGCCGCCCTGCAAGGCGGCGTCCACGTCTTGGTGCCGAGAGCTCAGCAGCTGGGTCTTAGTTGATTTGAGCATGGCGGACAGCATCGAGCAGCACCAGGACAAAGCCAATGGTGAAGACGCTGGCGCAGCACAAGGAGCTTGTGCGCTTGGTTCCCAGTCTGTCCGACAAAAATGGAACTCACGTCTGCCATGAGACCCTTCCAGGCATCGCGAAAGAGAAAGGAGCCCTCTTACAGATCGAGGCGAGTGACGTCACTCGTCCAATGCCCGTGATGACCTGTTGAGTGTCACTCTCGCAGGTCCACAAGCGTTTCGATCCGATCTACAACGATGCCAGACAGCGAATTCAAAACTTGGGTGACTTCGGGTCCGGCCCTTGGCTGCTGACACTTTGCTAATGAGTGCCGGATGTCCCTTGTCCCTCGGCGCAGGTATTTCACAGCCTTCATGTCTCAGCCTGCGCCCTAGATGCTGGTGGCAGGGTTGGGATTCTCAGGCTACAGCCAGTGCTACTGCTACCGCTCCGACACTGCGACTGCTACTACTACTGCTACTGCTGCTACTCCTGCTGCTGCGGCTGCTGCGACGACCAATGGTGAGGATGTCGCTAGCCAGGGCAAGACGGGTATAAGCAAGACCACCAGCCATGGTTGTTGCAAAAACAATTGATCTCTCTTTCTGTGCTCGCAGTGGTCGCCTAGTGCGGATGCCGGCCCGAAGAACTAGGCACAGCTTTCCGAAGCACTCTTGGTGCTGCCTTGAGACATTGGCAGTATGTGGTGTCTCCCCGGCGGGCAAGTGGCCCCTTGTAAGATTGAGAGTTGTCGTCAACTTGGAGCACGGTCACTTCCGGCCTGCTCATGTGGATCATCGCCACCAGCACCACACCGTAAATGATAATCATCCCAGCACGTAAATGATAACCATAGTCGTCCCTGCCGTCGTAGATATGGGTGGTGGTCAAAATTAGAGTCCCTCTTGGCTCCTTATTCTAGTACGGCACCTAATATTTAGTGTACCCAAAAAGGGGCCCTAATTTTGACAACCGCCCATATGTCAGCGTGACAAGGGAAGGAGAGCCGAAAGCTGAGTGGTCCGAGGCCAAAGATGCAGCTGGAGACCTTTAAAGATTGGGCCGTGGACTTGGCATCTTTGTTCTAAACATATTGAGGGAACAATATTTTTCCCCTAAACATATTGGGGAACGATATTTTTTCCCCAATATGTTTAGAGTTTAGACAAAGACGCCTTCTCAACAAAGGGTTGATAGGAACCCATATAGTAAAGGAGCCCCTTGAAAGGAACCCCTTTGTCGGGACCCGTCAAGGAGCCCTTAGCAGTTGCAGCGGTTGTCTTTCGATGTCCTTCGGCTTTCTGGGGGCTCTGGTGAGGGGGCTGGTGGGTTTCTTAGGTCTTCCAGTGTAGGGTATCGAGACGACGAGGTGTGAACGACGCTGCCGTTTGCTTTCACCTGTTGAGCTTAGCTCGCCCTAGAACGCATCGAACCCGTACGTTCGTGGCACGGAGGCGATCAAACCCAAACCAAGCTCACCCAAACCAAGCTCAGCATAGGCCCCCTCCCCACTTCACCTCGACGGCTGAAGCCATGAACCTGGCCTACTTGAGCGAGATCGGCGTGCCTGTTCCTTGACCTTGTCCTTGCTGTCGTGCATCGGGTTCCCCTTTCATGCATCCTTTGCTCTATAACATTGGCAGGTTGCCTGCTCTTCGACTGCGTGCCGAACTCCCCTACCACCAGCGCCGGCAGCGCAGCACAGAAATGGCCACGGCTATGCTGCGCCTTCAGGCGCAAAAGCAAGGCGCGACAGCCGCGGTCGGGTGAAAAGAGCAGTTCGGTGGCTGTTTTTCTTTTTCTGCACCCTTGGAACAGGCCCGTGGTGACGCGCTTCGCGCCATCTCCCACAGGGTACCTGCACATTGGGGGGGCGAGGACGGCGTTGTTCAACTACCTGTGCGAAGCTTAGCCACGGTCTCGAATGCGCCGACCCGTGCCGGCAGTCCCCTTTCTGCTCGTGCTGGAGGGTACTGCACACCTGAATATAAGGGCTACTATGAGGGATCTATATATAAGAGTACTATAATAAAGCCTACTTAGACTTAGGTTCGCAAAGCATCATGGTGGCAAATTCCTGATGCGCCTCTCGGCCTGTGCTTGCGGTGGGGCCCAAATAGTCGAAGTAAGACCTGAGAAGCCGCACCCAAGCCTTGAATGCTAAATCCTAAACTCCAGAGGCTTAACATCCCTTAACCCGAAATCTTAACCAAACCTGGAATACTAAATCCTAAACTCTAGAGGCTTAACAGCAATAAACTCTAAATCTTCATCCCAAGTCCATACTTCCGAACATTCAGGCATCGAGGACACCGACGCGGAGCGGCACAACGAAGCCGCCGTCGATGCCATCCTTCAGGGAATGGCTTGGCTGGGCACGCCCCACGACGGAGAGATCGTTCGGCAAAGAGAGAACATAGGCAGGGCATGCCTATACACATTGTCTTTCTATGTTGAATGTTAAAGCCACGTTTTTCTGTACTGTAGCATGAAATCAATGTGTAGCATTTTAGGAAGGGCGTGAGTGTATGCAACATAGCGAGGACGCCACAAGGAAGTTGCAGCCCAACTTTTGGCGAATGGAGGTGTCGGGAGCTCAGATCAGAATGATGGGGTTGGCTGTGCAGGCTCGAGGAAATTGGGGGGGGGTGGGGGGGGATTCAAAAAAGGAGGGACGCGCACCGTGCTTGGGGACGCATAGAGTGGAGATCCTGCATGATCCTACTCGCTAAGGTCTCTGCCAGGGCCCCTTGGTTTCAGAAAACTCCCACGTAAATCCTAAACCCTACAGCCCAAATCCTCAAGCCGTAGTAGGAACCCTTGTGGTAACCCTTTAGTAGGAACCCTTACAGTAGCCCCGTACCCCAAACCCCTAAACCCCAAACCCTAGAACTCTGAGCCCGCCTGGCGTGCGAGGCCTACAAGTGCTACTGCTCCAAGGAGGAGCTGGAGGCCATGCGCGCGCAGGCCAGGCCTTTAAAGAGCCGGAAGACAGGGTTTAGGACCTGGGTTTAGGGTTCAGGGTGACGCCTCAAAAGGACGACGGAACCCACCCCAGTTGGCTTCGGTATTTCGAAACTCACGTGACTCGTTGCTTCAAAGTTCGACCAGCGAGTGCCAGTGGCAAGACCGCCACCACCATCCCCTGTTTAGAGTTTGGCGAGCTTAAGCGGAAGAGAAAGAGCCCGAAAGATGTACGGAACATGGAGTTGTGCCCAAACTCAACCTGTCTGAACTTGTCTAAGCCTCTAAACCTCGAAGCCTCAAACCTTCAACGTCCTGCAAGCCTAAGCCCTGGAGCTGCCCTCAGGCCGAGCAGCAGCACGTTCCTTTCAGATATTCTGGCCCTTGCCTGGGCCTCGGAGGGACGGATTTTGGAGGCTTTGGGGCGTCTCTTGTGGTTTGGTGTGGGAGGGTTGAGGGTTTAGGCTGCTTGTTACTTTGCTGGAGGGCGCAACGCGGGGCCGGATGTCGTCCCTCCCCCTGACCGCCAACCCGTGGTGCGAATTCGGACGCCGGACGATGACGGCGTGACAAGCTGGCAGGACACTGCTTTCTGAGCGGCCGCGCTTCTGCAAGAGTCAGAGACTTGATGTTGTAAGCAGAGCTAGCCTTGCCACAGACCTCCTGCAATCGAAGGACGGAGTGATGGGCTTGATCGAAATCCCCAACAAGGAGCCTTGGCACTGAGCTCACACCGAAGCCCCTTGCACCCTAAGCCTAGTACACCCTGAACCCAGAGCCTCAGAGCAAATCCACCGAAGCCCCAAATGCTGCTCCCTACTCCCGCCTTAAAGCCTGACCCTGCAAGGATGTGGATGACTTCATCATCCTCAGGGCTGACGGTACGCCGACGTATCTGCTCGCGGTGGTCGTGGACGACCATGACATGGGCGTGACCCAGGCCGAGAGCTCTTCTCTATCTAGCTCTCTGGGGCTTCAGGCAATGCGTTTAAAGACTTTCACTTGTGGGTATGTATGCGTGTATGTGTTTCTGTGGGGTTTAGGGCTCCGAAAAGTAGAAGCCCCAAGTTCAGGAAGCCCCTAAGCTAGCTCAGCCTCACCTTTAGGGCGTGAACCCTAAACCCTAAATCGTAAACCCTAAACCCTAAACATTGAGAGGGCTTGCCGCAAGGTCATCCGTGGTTCAGATCACATTGGCAACACGGCCCGGCAGATTTCCGTCTTCAAGAACATGCAGCCCGACCGAGCCCAAAGGTCTTACCATAATCGTAATGATGACAAGAAGCTGATAATAGTCATGGTCATATTGCCATAATCACAATGATGATAAGAAGACGATAACAGTCATGGTCGTGTGAGCTTATATTGATATTGGTAGATGCTTTCAGGAAATATATGTTTCGTTTTTGTTAGACCCTGCTTTCCTGCTTTTAGGATCACCGATTCGGGCGTTGTGGTTGCTGTTGTGTTGCCGGACGCTGGACGTCGGCAGCAGGTTTTGGGCTATTTAACCCCCCCTGTCCCCCCTTATACTGTGGTGGTGGGTTGTCGGTTTCAAGTTTAATGTTTGCCCCCTTCCCCCCTCCCTGTGGTGTGGTGGTGGGTGTTGGGATTAGGCTTTAGGGTTTGCACCCGCATCCCCCCTTGATTTTCCCTGTGTGGGTGGTGGTTGTTTAGGGTTTGGGTGTATAGAAAGGGTTTGGGGTTGATGGTGGGCACAGCGCAGACGGAAACCATGTCCCACCCAGGTGAGTGTCGCCACTTTGGACACGCCACGAAGTTGCATAGCTTCAGGAGCCACAACACTCACGAAGATCACGGGTTCGGGGCCCATCGCACTTTTGAGACAACAGTGACGACATGCGTTCTAGACGTCCCGTAAACCAGTACCTCCGCCAAGGAATCGGCAGACGCGGATGTGAGCGCAACCTGTTATCGCATATTGTAGTACTGGCTTCCCAAAAAGAAACCACTGGCACGGCTGTAAGCGCAAGTGCGTGCACGTCAGCGGCGACATGTGTGGGGACAGATTTTGCAGGGGCAGGGGCGGGCAGGAATCCGCTGATCAGACGGGGCGGACTTTGAGCGCAAGCCAACGCAATATGTGACGGTACGTTGTCTTGTAAATCTATAGCACTGCCCCCCCACGTAACCCACATGGGCAGACACAGCTGTGAGTGCAACTGCGTGCATATGGGAGCTTACATGTCCAGATGATATATAGGGGTGGGAAGGAATCCGCTATAATCCGCTGATCAGCCCGGGAGGGGGGCTGTGAACGCAAGCCTGTGTGGCCGTGCTGTGACTGTGGCGTGTGTGGGGCGTATGCTACTAACGGCCTCCCAAGAAACCTACTGGGCAGACACGGCTGTAAGTGCAAGTGCGAGCACGTAAGCGGCGACATGTGTGGGTACAGATTTTGCAGGGGGATAACGTTCGAAAGCGAAACTAAAGCTAGCTGGTGTTTGCTGCCCGGTCTTACGCACGTGAGATGACCTTTTGAATGCTTGGCAATTTGGCGGAATTGAACAATCCACAGTGATGGCTCGGACTATAAGCTGACCAGCTGTTTCGGCACATGGCTTGATTGCTTCGTGTTGATATGCTCAAAGCGGCAGAACTGATTCAAGCGGTAGACTCTTCGGGAGACGAGGCCGGTTGGCGTAAAACCGGAAACCAAAGCCAGAGTTTTCCGGGAAAGGCCAGCCATCGGTCCAGCCCAAGGCATGCACCGAAGGCTCGTGCCGAAAGCAGCACTCAGTCGGTCAGAACTTGTGCACCTCATAGAACGCTGCAAGGCTCATGAAGCTGCCACTTCGGCTGCAGTTTGTATGTGGAGAGGTGTTTGGAGATGAGACACAGAGCGAACGATGGACACGAAGGCTTGGAGGGCCTGTGTGGTACGATATAACTTAGTTTGCAACAGGGTTGGGCCGTGAGATTCCTGGCAAGGCGACGCATGACCCAAAAGCAGCAGCAGAGGCAATCGGTCTGACTATCGGCCAAAAAGCCGATGCTCGCATTCCTGGGGAGCCACTGCTTTTGCTGGCAGGTTACTTCGCATGAGGTTTGAGCCTCAGCCACCACCAAGCTCGTTCCATCCACAAGCACAGGCCAGAATCTTGGACTCCCTCGCTGGAGCTTGGGGGAGCAGCATTGCAGTGTCGCTTGCGCTACATTCTTGTCCTGTTTGAAAGCGACATCGTGGATCATAGGTATGCTATGGGCACTCGACACATATACACACAGACTTAAGAACGGCCCTAGGGCAGTCGTGCTTATTCGCCACAGAGACACGTCTCAGCATACGAGGCCCGACGTCGTCCACAGCCGCGTGGAGGTCGGGGCACATGCTTCTTCTGCGTTGCTCAACGGTGTCTGTGAACAAGGGCAGCTTGGTTCTATTGTGCAGGTTGAGGCCTCGCAAAACATTCCCCGTGACCTTCTTCCAGGAAGAGTCAGAACAGGTCGGACAGCCAGACCTCGGATTTGTTACGCGACTGTTCTTGCTCAAAGGCCCGTCCATCCAGCGAGGCTTCACGAGCCTCGGACATTCCGCATCACAGGCTGAGTGGCGTTGGGCCGCTGCGCTTTGTGAAACTGAGGAGAGACAAGGCTCCGGCATGGAGGTTGCGGTGGCAAAGCTCTCTGATGTCCCCGACGACACAGCACAGCAATTCATGGGCCTTTCCTAGCAGGGTTTTCAACAATACGTTTGAACCCGGACTTGTTTGCCTAAGGAGATGGAAGTGGAGGCGAAAGAGGCCGATGATTTCGCCTTGCCAAAGGCTGATGGGATGGAGGCTTTTGGCATAGCAATTGCACAGGAGAACTGCCCTGAGCACCCTGGCGTAAACAGTGGCGCCAAGATGCAGCAGCAGTCGCCGACATGCTATCTTCATCCTCCGGTTCGATTATGAGAAGAGATGCCAGCACGCCGCATGTACAGTCTCTCGCAACGCTTTGCAAGCAGCCAAATCCCGAAAACCCTTGACCCTAGACCCTGCACCCCTTGTCACTCCTTCATCATTACTACTACTATTACTACTCCAAAATAACCCTGCACCCCTAAACCCTTCTCTGCAGAGGCGCCCGATGGCATTGTTACCGGCTGAGCGCCCTCCAGCCAGGTCATCCCTGGAGCTTCCTTGAGAGCCCAATTTCCCTTAATGGAGGAAGATGTCTTTACTATTTATGCCAGGAGCCCAATACCTCCTAGTCCAAGGAGTAGACCTCAAAGAATACGAGGCTTCATCGCATGATTTACTTGAGGGGTCTTGGGCTCTCTGGGTTCTTCCCCAAGTTTTGTCCCTGCTCCCAGCGTGGTGCAGGCGAAGTCGGACAAGTCTCTCGGCGTTGCCTGGGCCCAGGTTGCCAGGTTTCGGGGCCTCTGCAAGCGTGAGTGTAAGGGTGCGAGAAGGGAGGGTTTAGAGAGGGCCAACTCCCGTATGGCAGCGTTTTCGTGGTAGTATGTAGGGTTGTCGGGGATTGTTTGTTGAAGCTGTGCGATCTTTCGGGCGCACATTCGAGGTTGCTGGCGCTGTTTGTGCAGGTCTTTCCACAGCAGCCTGAGACCTGGAAAACAACAGGCACATACGACGAGGGCTTAAGGCTTATTAAGGTGGTGAAGTCGCACCTTGGAACAACTCTCCGTTTGAACAACTCGCGAGGGTTTACCATGTGAGGAGCAACGGATCAACGCTGCCTGCCCAAACGGACAGCACGAAGTCATGAAATGAATCAAGGATGTACTTATCAGCCCCCAGGAGTCGATCCATTCGCCGTGTTCCCGGCACGTTAGCAGCAAGGGCTTGGAAGGATTTCTTAGCAGGATGCTGCATTTGTATACGTGCGTGATGTGCGGTTGGTGATGTCAGGTTGTTTGAGTGACTACAGTACCTCGAGCAGAGGCTCGGCGATTCCTTGGCCGAGCATGCCCAGGACGAGGGAGCTTGGATGTTACTTCTTGGGCTGCCAGAAAGCCAAATGATGGCGACAGGAGCTTTCGGACGCCGTGGCCAAGCTCTCCGACATACATGCGCGAGTGTCCCACTGCGAGGTGGAAGGGCGGGAGGGAGGGACCATCGTGTGTTTGCTGCGGCCCGTGTGGCTTTGCCAAGCTTTGGGCGTCGCCAGGTCCACGGAGAGCACATCGACTCGCTGAAGAAGTCGCATGCCTGGATGGCCAGCAACAAGGCACAAGAGAGACACACCATGAAATTGCAAGGCACACTACGGAAGCATCTGCAGAGAACCCCCGAGCCAGGCCGAGCTGGAAGCGAAGTTCGACTCAGCGAGCGCGTCCATGCACTCGAGAAGGAGAGCGGATTGAAGGTTGTAGCCCTCGTGAAGCTTCTTCCGTGGTCAGCTAGACTCGAAGCCTTCCCTACTAGATTGTGGATCTTGGTACAGTGTTCCTTGACACGTGACATGCAATCTGCAGGAGTATGTATCAACTGGGGCCAAGGTGGATGCCGTGCCTCTGGGCCGCAAGGTAATTGACATTCGCTGTCATGGAAGGGCCCTAGTTGCGCATGCTTTGAGGTACAGTGGGCTCTCGTACGAGCGCAGAGCGCGAGAGGTGTGCTGGGGTTTCCCTTTCAGGACTGTGCAGCATCACACTGGTATGATCGTGGGGATTTGTCTATTAGGGGTCGCTTATCTCGCATGGCTGGGTTGAAGTACACATCGATGGGCGTCCACCTTCGGCAAATGCACTTCGAACAGTCGCTGCTACTTGTGAACAATCCGATGGTTCCACGTGGAATCGAGCGTCTAGATATCGGATGGCTGGTTGTGATGTGTTCTGCTGCCGCTGATGTGCCTCTCGGGTGGGTGCTTGTGGAATCGAGCGTCTTGATGGAGAATTGGTGGTTTTGATGTTCTGTGTGGCCACTGGTGTGCGTCTCGACTTTGTGCTTGTGGAATCAAGCGTCGAGATGCGGAATGGCTGGTTCTGATGTGTCACTGATGTGCGTCTCGAGTGGGTGCTTGTGAAATGGAGCGTCTAAATGGGGGATGGCTGGTTTTATGTGTTGTGCTGCCACTGATGTGCGTCTCGAGTTTGTGCGTGTGGAATCGGGTGCCGTTGATGTCCTGTTGATTATATATGCTCTGGTTATCAGAAACCGTCTCGGTCACCGTGTTTGGCGCTGGAGACGCACCCCTCCACCACCGCACACGTGTGCATACACTCACACTCACACACACACATGCTTTGCACAGGGGTACGGTTTGCACGCAAGCATCAAGGTTTCTTGCCTCTGCCACGCATGAAACCAAACCAAACCAAGCAAGGGTGCAGACTCCATACTTGCGTGGCAATCTGCACGAATGCTCGGTGAGAATGGCGCATATTGCCCCAAAGGTCAGTACTGGATACGTGGACAACGATTTAAGTTAGAGTAGCTTCTGGTCTGTTTAGAATGGGATTTGTGTCCTGCACGTAGTGGCCGTCAGAAAATTAATGAGGACCTCAAGATCTCTTTGGCATGTTCGGGTTTTGAGGTGTGCCAGGACGCATCGAAACAGTTCTGACGGTGCGGAACGGATCCAACTATTCAGGGACACTGCTGCATCTAGTTCCCAAGAATGTGCCGATAGTTCTTGAGATTTGAGCAATAGTTTCAAAGCCCCTGTGAGCTGTCACACATAAACAAGCCACAGAACATGCCAAGATTGAAGCTCCAATGCTTCTCGATACCCCGGGCTTCGATTCATTAACAACAAAATGCAGCGTCTAGTTGGCTCTTCGGTGCCAAAAGTGAAAGTCGATGAAAGCACTTGAAACCCCAGCGTCCACGGCATATCCTGCTTGCGCGACTTGGAGGTTAAAGACAGAGTCTATGTGGGTAGTAGCATCCACTCATGTGTGTTGTCGCTACTGACATGTACTTCCTTGGAATAGTGTCCGCCCTCGGGTGATTCGTATATGATTATATGTGTATTCTTTCCGGCAAGTGTGAGATAAACCTTCGCTGGTAGCATGGAAACGGAAGTGAGCAGGCTCATACGGCCTCTTTGCACACGCTCCACAAGGCCCACAACAGCCTGAGGCGATGGGGGCGTGCCAAGTCGAGTGCAACTTTGAGATTCGCCCTGTGATCATTCATCCAGGGGGCGGGTGGACTTCCTCGACAATTCCGTCGGCAAGGCCAGTGGTGGTCAGGGTTCAAACGCAGCTTTTGCAAGCCTTAATCATGAATGACCCATGCTGAGCGCCCAGGTGGAGCATGCAGAAGTGCGCTGTGGAAGGCGTTCCGCTCTCAGGTCAGCAAGCGGTGCTCGGAAGCCAAAAGCAGTGTTGCACCAGCTCGGAAAGGGTGCTGCTAGAGCAGTCAGAATGTATGGTAACTAAGGCACTCACACAGTGAGCACTCGAAGGGACCTTGGGCTGGACTTCTAGGGATGACTGCCAAATACAGCTCGTCATACCTCTCAGCCGCGACGCGAAGAAAGGATTTACCGATGCAGAACGGCATTATCGAGAAGTAGCCGTAGCAATCGACAATAGCCTCAGCCACGAGTCCGCATATCACAGTCCATCATAGTCCCCATCTAGTTACCGACGCTCTACCCTATTTTCGCATATCAAAGTTGAACTCAATACTCCCAGACAGCATCAGCCCATTGATGGCATTTATTTTCTGGAATTCTTTACGCAGATGATGCCCTTATATTTGGGGCAAATACGCACTGTGTCAATGTTCTTCTACATGTACTAGAAAGACATTCAGCTTACTACGGTCTCACTTTGAACTATGGTAAATGCGTGAATCTTACTCCGAACCAAAAGTAATCTTCGGTCAGATCCTCCTCTTCAGGCCCGGCACAAGGCAAACTTCTAGCGAGAAAGAGCTCCGCCACCTACCTCGGAACTCTACTAACAGATACCTTCGACAATCGAGCTGAAGTCTCCAACAGAATCGGTGACTGTATAATTACATGCAATCGTTTGAAGTTGTTCTGGAATAAAGCCAACAACAGCACAAAATGGAAAATCCAAGTTTTCAATGCGATCGTCCGTTCCAAACTATTTTATGGGTTAGAATGTGTACAAGTATCTAACGCCGAACTCTCTACCCTCAATGCCTTCCAGAACAAATCGCTGCGAAGAATCCTGCACATCGCACCCACATGTATTGACAGAGAGCTGACCAATGCTAGTAACTGCTAGTATGTATGATATATTACGAAACGATTGCGGGTGTTCTTTTGAGAACTTTGCCGACACATGGCGTAAGGCAAAGCTCAGCCTTTTTGGACACGTTTTGCGAGCCAGCCCTGCAGATCCCGAAGTTCAAGTTACTTCCAAAACAGACGAATTGACACCTAGAGCTTTCGCCAGAAGGCGGCCAGGCAGACCCAAAGCAGATTGGACCACTGAAGCTTCTAAAGATGCATATTGTATATTGCATGGAGATGCTAACGCTTTTGATGTCAATAATATACATCATCTCAGGGAGATTGAACAGTCAGCTAGAAATCGTGAAGGACCGTTTGCTATGTAACATGAAGAAGATACGTCGGGACGCAGTTCCAAAGGACATTGGCTTCTCGAGGTAGTCCTGCTCGCGGTAATCTCGTCTTTTTGCTTGGGAAGCGTGGTGCCAGTTTCTCTTTCAACATATTTGGTTTCTTCAGTCAAGCATTAATTGACTTGAAGCTTATGTATCCAATACGATGGCTGAACCTGTCCCACTATCGTAGTTTACATCTACTTGTGCTCTGCATTTTTCTCAAACCTGTTGGGAGCCCATCTGCGCTCGACAGAAAATACCTTACCCCGAACCCTATTCTAAGTCCTACCGGTTTGGTTTTCCCGGGCAGGGGTGCGTATCTAACGAAAAGCATGGGATCCACACCAGGCTATGGCGGCAACTGCTGTCTCGAAGCCTGAACCCCCAGGCTAGTGCGTACCGGCGCCTCAGGGCCGCGCGCGACGGTTTAGGTCTTTTCATTCGCCTAGCCTGGGAGTTCCGGGGACGAGACGGTAATGAAACATGCAAGCTATTCCGGAACTCCCAGGCTAGGCGGACGAAAACACCTAAACCAGTCCCAAGTAAAGTGCTTAGCACCCGGTGGCTTCTTGCAGGCAGACTCCGATCCGCACCCAGCCAAAAATAATCACTCTAATATTAACAATTGCAAAAAAATCTTGACTTATTTGCAAAAGCCAGCCTGCGAAAAGACCAATTCCCCATGCCAACTTTCCAAATCCTTCATGCCCCTAGCCTGGGAGAAGAACATCTAGCCGACAAAAATCCTAACTTATTTGCTAGAGCCCGCCTGAGAAAAGACCAGATTCTCATGCCGGCCGTTCCAATCCCAATCCCCCCTAGCCTGGGAGAAGAAAATCTAGACAGCAAAACCCCAAAAGTTCCTATCCCCGGACGCCGCGTTCCAACCCGAAATGCCAATTAGATGCTATCAGGAAATATATGTTTCGTTTTTGTTAGACCCTGCTTTCCTGCTTTTAGGATCACCGATTCGGGCGTTGTGATTGCTGTTGTGTTGCCGGACGCTGGAAGTAGGCAGCAGGTCTTGATTATGAGACGCCGGATACTTAAGAGATCTTAAGAGGATCGGGGCACCTGCGAGTAGGGTTACAGGTGAGGCAACCACAGCTAAATCTAGCTATAACCCTGATTAAGGCACGTAGAACATCGTAAAACGCTCACAAGCCCAAAGCCTAAGCCCCTAAACTCATCAATCCGAAGCCCCAAACCGAAAATCCGATGCCGAACTAGCTAATAGGCCTGAAAAGGCCTCGTAGCCCCGAACCCGAAAGCCCCTGGAGCCTCAGGGGCTGGGATCTCCCGGACTTTGCGCATCTGCCGCTGATCCACGGCCCGGATGGCAAGAAGCTCTCGAAGCGGCACGGGGCCACGGGGCTGGAGGAGTTCGAGGCCAAAGGCGCGGAGCTCGGCTTCTTAGATCTGGGAGTCGTCGTCGGACGGAGAATCTCGGAGAGTCTTCTCAGGGTTGTGGTCGCTGTCGGAGGGTGGACGGAGCAGAGCTGAGTGTTTTTTTCGGAGACTTCGGGCGGTCAGGTTACCTGCCCGAGTCCATCCGGAACTACCTCGCCCGGCTCTCCTGGTCCCATGGGGACGACGAGATCTTCTCTACGGAGCAGGCGATCAAGTGGTTCTCCCTTTCGTCCTGCTCCCGAGGAGCCACGTATTCTTCGGGGTGCTCTTATCTTACTAAGCTTGAAGCGGTTCCTTTTGACCGTGACAACAAGAAACACTGTGTACCAGAATCAGTATATAACTAGTAATCGTGAGACGGAGGATCCGATCATTTAGGGTGCGCGTTGGGGTTGGGGTCCTTGTTAGTGCACTCGAGCGGTCCTTCAGTAGTGAGCCACAAACCAAGCCTCTAAAGTCAGAAGCTGGAGGAGCACCGTGCTTTGACTTCGACAAGCTCAACGGCCTCAATCAGCATTACATCAAGGAGGCCTTTACCGTGTGCCGGTCTCTGTGTTTTGAGACGGCTCTGATGCAGGGTCCTGTAATCTTGTGAACCCCAATCTTCCCCAGTCGTCCGAAATTCTAGACTTGTTTCGCTGCAGAAGACTCTGCTATTGCCGCAAGGCAGACCACATTCGCCTGGCCGAGATCGTCTTGAAACTATTCCCTGAGGCTTCCAGCCGAAGGAACGAGGGATGACGAGGATTCCGGAATATGGTGTAGTCCGATGCAGACTTGGCAAGTGTAAGCAGTTTTCAAAGGCAGGTTTCTAATGTGAGGAGTTCGTGCACACTGGCAAGGGGAGCCTACTTCAGGATCTTCAGGGAACTACAAGGTAAGCTTCCTTCACCAGTGCTTGGAAGGTTGCACCCTACGAAGAGAAGCTTCGTGATCCTCGCGTGGCGAACATGCTCAAGGTGCGTGCCAAGACGCTGCTGGAGTACAAGGAGGCCAGTTCCGATAAAAAGGTCATTACCTCGTTTGGAGGCACTTACAATAGGCATCCTATGACTGAGTGTTTTATCTTAGAGCACCACATTTTCTGAAACTCCTATAGTAACCATAGCGTAAGTCAGCAGATGTGATCGCAGCAATGATCAGCATCATCAGATCAAGATTTCGACTAGCATTATCCAGGCATTGGAGAAGGCCCCTCTTGAAACCCCCCTTGAAAAGACAGGCCGGATGGTTCTTCATGTCCAAGAGGCCCATTGAGGTGTCGCCTGCTGCGGCGGCTCGGGCTGGATGCAAAGGGGCCGTAAAGGGGAGTAAGGATGGAGCCCACTTTGGTCAAGATGGTTGAACTGGGGCCTGGGCCATGCTAGTATGTTACTACGGTTGATGATATATATCCTGCATTACCTTAAGGATCCTAAGCTATGGGAATTATGGCATATTCCTTATTATGGGTAATGCAGGATTTATATCATCAACCGTATGGTCTCCTTGGGATTTTTATTTGCATTATGGTTCCGAGGGGGGTGTAGGCTAGGATGACTGTCTGGGGTGATTGCCGGGTGAAACGAAAAACCGTTTATCCCCGAAGCAGTGGTGTCACAATGCTGTTCTTGGACGCTCAGTATAAGGAGATTTTTGTTGCAGGGACTCCTAAAAGCGAGTCGCCCTGGATGCTCGGGTCCGTGGCTCCCGCAGCCCCGCACAAGCGCGGTGTAGAGCTTGCCGGAAGGTGGTGGCGTTCGCGCGGCTCTCGCACTGCGAAAATCCGCATTTTGGGGTGCGATTCGGGCTTTTCGGCTTGCCGTGTGCTCTCGCCACAGTGCTGATTGCGAGGGTTGCTGCTTTCGGCATCGGCGTGCTGTCGCCACAGTCCCCTATGTTTCCGCCTCCAGAAGTCTTGGATTTTGGGTTGGTTCTGGCGCTCTCGTCAGAGTTCCTTGGGAGTGGTCGGAAGGGTCTCGGGACTTGGTATGTTGCCTTGTTGGTCTCAATGTCTAGAGGCTAGAGGCTTCAATCGTGTCATTCCTGCGTTCCTGCTTGAGTCCTGAGGCCGCGGATCTCAAAGGAGCTGGTGCGCAAGAGGCCTTGACGACCTTAGTGCAGCTGTTGGAGACCTTCGGCTGCCAAGAGTGCCCCAGAACTTGCTTTCGCGCCCGCTGCAACTACATCTACACCTAGCTCGTCCTAGCTCCACACTTCCCTACGCCATGACCCTGTAAATGTTGGATGTCACTACACTTGAAACCCCGAAACCCAGAAATCCTGAGACCCTGCTCGCAGCATCCTGACGTGTAGGATGTCCCGCCCGAGGAAGTATTCCGGCGATTGGAGCCCAGAGGGCTTGGAGACCTGCATCAAGGACTACGCCGCGACGCAGAAGGCTTGAGGGTACTCAAAGCACAAGGCATGCAAGAATTCGGGGTTTCGGGTGCTCGCTTTCAGCGCAATGGCGTATGCATGAAGGATCTGGGGACATGGCACGCGGTATCAAGGGCCATGCTAAGGAAGAGAGCTCACACAGGGCACCTGCCACTTAGGCTTAGTTGCGCGCTTCCGAGCCTGCTGAGCCTTCAACTTATTGCCCCAAAACCCGAATCCCTAGAGCCTAAGCCCTTCAGCAGAAGCTCGTAGAGACTCGAGGTGCCTTCTCCCTCTGCTTAAGGCTGTAGGTCTCCTGAGCCGCAGGCCTGAAATCACAAAGATCCTGAACCTTAGTTCAGATCCCCCAACCCGGGGTGCACTCTCCGAAGCCAAACATCCTCGAGAACAACCCTAAAGCATCCCTGAAGTGCTGAATCCTGAATTCGACTCAACATCCTAAACCACAAAACTCTGAAGCCCTAAAGCCCTAAAGCGCTAAAGCCTAAACCTACCCTTGAAGCCCGAAATCCTGACCGCCTGGAGGTGAAACTTGGGGCCCTCGCTAAGCCTGCGCGAGCCGCGCTGGGAGCCCCAACGAGCCCTCACCTGCCGGGAGAGCTTTAGGGTTATAGTTATAGTTATATCTAATTATAATCCTAATAAGGTACTTATACTTGGAAGCTGTCGTCCTGGAGTTGTTTTGTGTTTCTTTACCTCTCTTCTTTGCTTTAAATAGAGAGGGTTTTCAGTTTTTCCGAGTGCCCTCGCTTTGTGAGTTTAGTTTCCGTTGCTTTGTCCTTAAAACCACAGATGACACATGGCTTCAGATGGCGGAGCAAAGCATTGGAAAGTATAGCCGACAGCGTTCTGTCACAGCCCCGTAGGGAGCAGCACTGTTCCCACGCTTCCAGTGGGTGTGGAGTAGATCCGAGCAAGTTAACCCTACACCCCTAAGCCCCGACGCCCCTAAACCCCTAAGCCCTAAACATTAAATCCCTAAACCCCTAAACACATAAACCCCTCAAGCCCTCAAGCCCTAAACCCTAAACCCATAATAAGCCCCTAAACCCTTGAACCCCTGAACCCCTAAACCCCTCAAGCCCTAAACCCTAAACTATGCCCGAGCTTGAGCGGAAATCCTGAAAGGCTCACCGGCTCCACGGCCTCTCCGGGACTCTTCGAGGTGCGATCCTCCTGGGCAGACCTGGGGCCCTAAAAATCCTACCTCGGCTTTTAAGGACGTTTAGGGGTTTTAGGGTTCAGCGTAGGGTTTTGGGTTTTAGGGACGTTTAGGTGTTTAGGGTTCACTGTAGGGTTTCGGGAGTTTCAGGACGTTTGAGGGTTTTGGAGTTCAGTTTAGGTTTTGGGATTTGAGGACGTTCAGGGATTTAGGGGTTCAGTTGAAGGACATGTTTAAAGGAGATCATAAGGATAAGGAGCCCGAAACATGGGCTTATGGGATGATATAATGAGAAACATGAAGCTTGTCACTGCCATTGATAGTTCTTATGCTTGTTGTTGTCATTGCTGTTATTGCCACTACATCCAGTAGTTCGAATCGTAATATTCAGTGCTATTATACTGATTACCCGCATACTTACATGATATTCATGACTCGTAGTATTCACTTGCTCTTGTTCTTATGATTGTCATTATTATTCCTGTTATATGCATCACTTGTATATCCCTAAACCCTAAACCCTAAAAAGTGAGCATTTCTTGTAACATTCACTTCAGGTCATTTGGGCCATCGGCCGCGACGAGGTGATCGCGCGGCTCAGGTGGGCCCAGCTCAAAACCTCCCCAAAACCCAAGATCCCTAAGTACCATTGTTGGGGGTTCCTTATTATGAGTACAGTGTATTATAGTATTTGGGTTCCTTATTATGATTAGAGTATGTTATAGTATACTAGACGCCCCAAAACCCAAAACCCTAGACCCTCACATCCCTCGATCCTGAATCCTAAACCCCTGAAGCCCTCAAGCCCCTAAAACCCTTAAGCCCTTGAAGCCCTAAACCTGAACCCTACAGACTACACCGTTAACCCTAAACCCCGAAGCCCTAAAGCCTGAACTCCAAACCCGAAGCCCGAAATCCCAAAGCCCTGGCGAGCCCCAAATGCGCCAGGGACGGCATCGAAGGCAGCTTCCAGGTTGCCGAGGGCGGGAGCTGAAGGCGTCCCCGAGGGCCCCTTAATTGAAACGTCGAAAGACTCCTAAACCCTGAACCTTAAAACCCTAAACTGAGCCCTGAGCCCTAAACTGTAGTCCCACACGTCTAGTTTGGTACCTTAAACCTCAAGTTTCCGGCGAGTTTTGCATCTCATTGCATAACAGGCCTTCCGGGTTGCTTGCTGGAGAGAGGATGAGCAGTCACGAAGAAGGGGCTAACACCAAAAACAAAGTTTGGGGGGGTGCCGGAAGGCTTAGTTTTGGTTTCCGGGTAAGGGTTCTACAAGCAGTTGTATTTAGGTTGCTTTTGGGATTAAGAGAAAACCTTAGGGAGTTTTAGGCCTCGGGTTCAAGGTATTTGGGGTTTAGGCCTGACGTCACCTGAAGTCCTTGCATCCTGAGAAAAAATCCGAGTTGTTCTGGATTTGTGAGCTCCCAGTCTCTCAAAACAGACAACTCCTAGGCAGGCCCTTGGGGCATTTTATATTTTCCGTTGTTGGGCTTAAGAGGATCTTGTTTGCGAATATTTTTCAGAGGATTTGAAGGGCCAACCTAGACCCCCAGGCACTGCGATGGTTCGAGCGTCCCCGTGTGGACAACCACAAAGCGGCTTTTGCACTGTGGCGTGCCTCGGCGCAACGCGTGTCTATCCTCTCCCTCGTTGATCCCGTCTGGAAGCAGCAGACCCATGGAGTGTCCGTGCCGAGGTCAAGAGCCATGAGGACGAGCAGACAAGAGCTTTGCTGCCGGATCTCGCCGCAGTTGTGCGTGCGACACGCCGTGTTCCTCGAATTGCTTCCCGCGAAGTCTCTGAGGGATGGGCGCATGTGTACAGCCTGTACAGCAACCTGCGGCTCTGCTCGGAGCGTCTTGCGGAAAAGCAGAGCAATTCCGATAGGTCTGACGCAAGGCTCTAGGGTGGTCCCAAACTCAGACAGGATGTTGCAGAATCCCAAAACCGTGAAGGCTCTACAAGGCCTTGACCGACGGAGCCCTATAGAACCTTTATACAAAGCCCGATAGACCTCGTAGCACCCTAACGCACCCTCATAGAACCTTACAAGCCAAGTACGCTGAGGCTGGTATCTCGTCGGACATCTCGTGAGCCGCTTCGGTCATTCTCTTTGGATCCAGGTATTCAGGATGCTGCTGTGGGGGTTTAGAGATTAGGGTTGGGGGTTTAGGCCTCCATCCGTTTATCTATCTATCCATCTAATCTATCTATCTGTGTACACATACATGTGTATAGTGAAGATCCTGTTATGTAGGATCCATTACTATATAAGGGTCCTTTTCCTCGAGTTTCGGAAGGTATTACCTGAACTCCCACCACATAGACTTCCATGCGCGCGACCCAGCAAAGCAGATGCTTCTCTGTCTTTTTCCGTCTCTGTCCCTTTCTCCCTCTGTCCCCCGCCCTGTCTGTCTCTCTGTCTCTCTGTCTCTCGCTCTCTCTGTCTCTCTCTGTCTCCCTCTCTCTGTTTCGCTATGTGGCGGCTTTCCTGCAGCCCCGAGTGCCACGGCGCCGGCTGCGTGAGTTCCACTGCACGGTATGTCCTGCAAGCATTGCAAGCTCACCGCGATTGTAGGGATGCCTACAAACACGAGCGCGAACAAGAGAAGACTGCATGACTTGAGTATTGTAGTGGTTGTATTGGCGGGGCATATAGGGCATCAAGAAGTAGAACGGGGCTTCGGGATACGTTGAACTACACCTGTCTAGATGCTATAGCGGAAAGTTATCATTTCAGTGGCTTGGCGTCTTCCGGCTTCCATGGCTGAGGAAAGATGCTGTTTGCATTGAAACGATATGAATTGGATAGGATTTTGCGATCAGGCTAATCAGTCCCTATCGAAACACCTACTACCGGATTAGAACAGCCGCCTAGCCAGTTGTTCTTTCGTTTGCCAAGACTGCAGGAGGATTGCAATCGGTATGTCGACTTTTTCACAGGAGATAGCATACGGAGCTGTGTTACTGGATTCTCAGGTTTGAAATTGGATCGCAGTTGAGTGTTGATTACGAACCATGTGAGGTTCGAGGACGATGCTAACAACAGCCCAATCACTCCGAGGTAAGACAATTTCTCTTCGCTGTTTTCTGAGACGCCTTTTTGATGCGTCACCCTCCCAGGTGTGGGCTATGCAGGGCATTGCCAAGCCCGTTTCAGTGTACGCTCTGGCGCTCGGAGCTCGGCAGTGACATTTTGCACAAAGCAGGCATGAGCAGAAGCAGAGGTTCAGGAGGAAGAGGGGCAGTGTATTAACAGAGCTTCGTTCACCTGGAATATCAAAAGCACCAACCCTAAACGCATCCTAAACCCTAAACTAATTGAAACGATGGCAGTCTGAGTCGCAAGTGGCTGCTGCTTCGGACCGCACTTCCCTGTGGCTTGCTGTCTCAGACAAACTGCCGCTGAGCCATCTCTGATTTCCCCAAACCCTAAACACACACCTTGCCTTCAAGGGATCCCTTTTGAAAACACCCCAAACCCTTTTATACCCAAAAAACCCTGAAAGGGAGCCTTGACTGGTTCCCGTCTTTTAAACTGCTAAAACCTCGTATTACATACCTTGTTCAAAAGCCCTCAGAGGGATCCTTTAAGGCTAGAACTCGTAGATACCTTATTCAAAAGCCCTCAAAAAAGGGATCCTTCAAGGACAGAAGCCCCCGAACTCGCACCGAGGTCCACCGGCGTCGCGCAGAAGATTCTGTCCCGACCCTGCGAGGCCTCAAGCTCTCAATATCCGCTGAACCCTGAACCCTAAACTGGGGTCGGAGCTTAATGGTATAGGGTTTAGGGTATAGGGTTTAGGGTTTAGGGTTCAGGATTGGGGGTTTAGGGCCCCAAACCCTAAAATCTAACCTGGGGTTTAGGCTTTATGGTTTCGGGTTAGGTGTTTTAGGCCCTCAACCCTCTTTGTATCTCTCTGTTCTTGCCAGGACACCATCACCGTCACCGTGACCTGGAAGAACAACAGCGGGTCGGGGTCTCAGCTGGCAGGTTGACCGGGTGCTTGTTAAGGAATTTAGTTGAAGTCACCATACTACGGTTATCTGGCTGCTTTAGTTTGAGGCTTTAAGGTACCGAAGTATGGATCTCTAGCAAATAATATGGACCCCTGAGCATGGTTTAGCGCATGGCAACTTAAATTAAGTTTCATAACGCGAACCTGGTATCCGCAGAGCCAGGGCTTCTGCTTTGCATGGTAGCGCCGCGCCGAGAAGAGACGGCGCCAAGTTTGCAAAGCTGGGACCTTCATCCAGGATCCTTGAGTGCTTCATTGTTCCCCAAAGCCTGACCCTGAACCCCACCAAACTTGCCTCTGGTTAGTAGGGAACGGGAGAATGGTAGGAATAGTAGTTACACTTGTACCCCATTCCTCCATTCCCTACGAACATTCCCTACTACCCAAGGGTAAGCAAACCCTCAACCGGCAGCATTGAGGTCGCAAGGGCATGCCCTGTACACCTCCTCCTGGACGGCTAGCAAGGCGTGCTCGGAGTGGTGTCCCGTTGCGTGGCCCTGCCCCAGTTGAGCGGTTGTCAAAACTATGGTCCCTTTTTGGGTCCTTATGAAACTACGTCACCTCATGTTTAGGGTACCAAAAAGGGACCATAATCTTGACAACTGCCCACTTGGCTAACGCGTTGATGAAGGTTTCTATACTCTCACAATTATTGCCTCAATCATTGTATGCGCTACTGGTACATACACAAGCTTATATGTTGTTGCAACATGCGGCTTACAGGGTTTAGAGCTTGGAGCGCTAAACCCTAAACCCCGTTTCACTGCCCTGGTGCTGCCAGTCGGACGTCCACTCCCAGCAGCGCTTCTTCTGTCAGATGCAGACGGCGGAAGTCACCGTGGACCAGGCAGAAGAGCTCGAAGGGGTTCCCTTAAAGGGCTCCTTGAAGGGATCTGTGAGGGTTACCATTAAGGGTTCCTTTAAGGGATCTGCAAAGGTTACGATCAAGGGTTCTATATGGAACTATAAGGATCATCGGACTGGCTTCCTGGTTTGTAGAGAAGGTTTCTGGGTGTTTAGCGGGTGCTTCAGACGTTTACTACATGGCTTCCTTCACGTCCTTTCAGGCTTTCTATTTTGAGCTGGGCGTTCGGCCAAAATCTTAAAGTACACGCTCATGCCGCTAGATAGTGCCGTCTACCCCTAATCCTTAGATCCCCCCCAGTCCCCCTTAAAGGATCCCTTGAAGAAGCCCTTGAAAGATCCCTTATAGACGTATAGTATCCGTTGTAGTACGTAGCCCGTATAGCAACCCTTCTAGTGCCCTTACGGTAACTCCCTCTCTCTCTGTCTCTCTCTCTTGCTCTCTCTCTCGCTCTCTCTCTCTGTGTCTCTGTATATATATATATACAAATGTATCTATCTTTCCATCTATTTGTGGATAGATAGATCGACAGAGAGCTGGATACCCTTCTAGGAGTTTCGAATGCTCTGAAAGGCCTTTCATGAAGGGCTCCTTTCCTTTCGTAACCCTTATAGCCTTTACAAGCGGGCCTCTTGTACAGAAGACCCGAAATTTCGGCCCTGAACCCTAGCTTGAACAGAAGACCCAGTGTGCAAAGGCCCTCCTGTACAGAAGATCTGAAGTGAAGCTTTGGTCGAAAATCCTAAACAGTGTGCACAGGCCCTGTATAGGTCCCTTTAGGGAACCCTTTAAGGAGGAACCCTAAGTCCCCTTCGACCTCTATTTCAGGCGCACCGTGGCTACTACGTCGCCGAAGACGACGTCGGGCTAGGGGCTCGGCTGTTGAGCGGGTCTATTGGGGGGGTTTTAAAGGGTTTTCCAGGGTGTTTCTATGGGTTTTGGTTTTGGTGGTGTTTCTTTTTGAAACCGCTTAGAGGTTACTTGTTGAGTTTTGAAGTGCTTTTGCAAGGTTATTGCAGGGTTTTTGCAGAGCAGGCACTTGACAAGGGTTAGCCCCTTGTGATTTGACATTTTGTGAGTCATACAGGTAGCCAGTATATAGTGTAGTAGCGTATATCGCATATCGTCTATAGCAGATCCTGTTTTGAAAAGATCGTAACATCGTACATCTTATATCGCGTATGGTGTGCGGTATATGGTATATGCACCCGGTATATGGTATATGGTGTGGGTATGGTCTGGTCTGGTATGGTACGGCACAGCAAGATACTGTACGGTATGGTATTTCATGGCATGGCATGGCATGGCATGGTATGGTATGGTATGGTATGGGCTCACACACATCTAGTACGCGGAGCCAGAGAGGCTTTTTTAGCAAGAATCACAGCGGGTCCAGTCTTTGCCGAACTACCTGCAGATCCCAGCCCAGCTGCATCGTGCGCGTCGCTGGCACCTAGGTTCAACTCTTGCAACCCGCTTTTCATCCGCAACAAGCCGGACTCCGGCCCTCGATGTCGAGTGCTGATACTGTTGATGATATAGATCTTGCATTACCTTAATGATCCTAAACTATGGGAGTTATGGTATATTCCTCATTATGGGTAGTGCAGGATTTATAGTATCAACCGTACTTCGGTTCTGTGGTTTGACAGCCAGCAATGTCCCCAGCCAGGACTCGAAGGGACGGTACGTTGGCCAGAGCTGCTACGGGTCCGGACCTCTGAGAGGTACAGTAGGGGAGAATAGCTGCTGTGCACGGCGTTTTCCAGGTACGTCTCCTTCGAGCGGTTCGTGGATGCCGCAAACGAGATTAACCAGGCACACCGTGGGCCGAATGCTGTCGATATCGTTTCTGAACTGAAGTACGTATGCATGCATAGACATGCGTGCATGCAGAGACATACACGTACATAAATACTACCACATATATCTTTTGTAGACCTATACATACAAATATACGTACATACGCATGCACACATACACAAGCGCACGCGCAGAGAGGCACGCATACTCAAGCAAGTTTGAATTTGGAGCATGTCGGGCCACATAAGCAGGCACGGGTACACAAAGTCAAGCATGCAGATAGAAGCCGAACCCACCGTTTTTCCCAGCAGGGCAAGGCCAAGCCGGAAGATTTCGACACCGAGCTTCCGACAGGGATCGCCACGGTGCAGGCCTTTTCGTGTTTGTCTGGGGGGGGCCCCTCGTTGCATGGGTTTATGGTTGCTTTGGAGCATGCTTTGTGACTTTATAGAGGTGCAGGGCTTTGGGTTTTATTCTAGCGCCTGAGGGTGCTTTGCAGATTCTTTTATGTCGGCTTGAGAGGGACTTCGAGGTGGTCTCGGTGTGGTTGTTCTCAGTTGCGGTTCCGTCTGAAGAGTCTTCAGGGAACTGTTGGGAGGGAGGGGGGGTATAAGCAGTTTTGACGGGGCTGAAAGGGCACATGGGAGGTCATTTTGGTCTTGCTTGAGGCCCGTGGCATTTTTTAGGTGGTTGTGCTTCTCTTGAAGTGAATGAGCAGTTTTCGACCATGGACGATGGTGGACAGGCACCAAACAGACCCCAGGCCCAACCGTAAAGCCCCGAACCCCTAAACCCTGAACCCCTAAAACCCACCCCTATACCCCGAAAGCCCCCAAACCCATACAACCCCTAAGCCCTAAACCCATGAAGCCCTGAAACCCCCAAACCCCGAAACTCCTAAACCGCAAAGCAAGCTCTTGGGGCGAGCTCCGGCTGTCTGACCTCCTTGGATCCGGGTTTCCGACAATAGGGGAGTACCCTAAATAGTACGATCCCCAATATACGGACCCAAAATGAGTTAATTACACCCTAATTTTCGGAAGCCCTAGACACGTTATAGAGCCCTTTAAAGAAACCCTTATAGCACCCTTTATTGTAACCCTGAAAAAAACCCGAAGGTACCCCGAACTCCCATCTAGCTGCCAGAAAAGCAGGTGACTGCCATCCTCGAGGCCCTCCGGATTCGGTGAGTTTCCCAGAGAGCCCAGTACCCCTTAATTAAGGATATGGCGAGGGTTCCTTTAAAAGGGTCTAAAAGGGATCTATAAGGGATCTATGGGGATTAGGGTTTCCGATACCCCTTAATTAAGGAATATGCCTTAAATCATAATATGAAGCCCTACACAATTTAGGCCATATCCCTGAATTAAGGGGTATTGGGCTCTCTGGGTTTCGGGGATTCCATGGGGCGGTGGGAGGATTCGACTAGCGCAAAGCGGCCCCGTACAGAAGGTGCTCAAGACAGAGGGCTGTACTTCATCTCGGGTGCAGCTGTCGTGGTTGTAGTGGTCGTCGTCGTCGTCGTAGCCCATAGAGGTACAGTAGCAGTCGCAGGAGCAAGAGGAGGAGTCCAGGGGCTTCTCGTCACGCTGAAGGATGTTGACGTGGGGGTCCCACGTCCTGGGATACAGAGGGGCTCGCCCTAAGTCTAACCCTAAACCCTAAACCAAAGGCGTTCAAAAAAAACCCTAAACCCTAAACCCCTAATACCAAACCCCTAAACCCCTAAACCCCTAAACCCTAAACCCCTAAACCCTTTCAAGTTATGTTGGACTGGATGTGCAGGCCGGTCGCAAGTCGCTGGATGAAGGCCGAGCCTGGGACTCGGCCCTTCTCGCGAGCCCATGCGGGGGTTTCAGAAAATTGGGGAGCCTTCTAAGGGCTCCTTTAAGGGATCTATAAGGGTTCTAGAAAGGGTTTAGGATTTGGGATTTAGAGCTTCCCCAAAATAGGGCACCCTCATATATTGTGCCCTAAATAGTAGGATCCTCCTTGTAAGGACACCAAAATAAGGTACCCCCAAGTTTTCGGAAACACCCCCCATAGTGATGTTTGGCCAATACCAGCTTTATCATCCTCTGCTGGTGCCCATTGTCATCGTCTTCGACGCCGTAGTAGTCGCTGCAGGAGACACAGCAGCACTGTCGCACTCGTAGTAGTCGTCACCGGAGCTGTCGTAGAAGTATGGAGCGGTTCCATCGGAAGAGTACCAGCCGTAGCAGTAACAGCAATTGCAACTCCTCATCTTAGAGGACGCCCAGAACACAGAATCCAGACCAAGCCACTTGACCTAACCCCAACACGAGGCCGTGTCGATCATCTACGATGACAAGGGCGAGGCCAAAGGGCATTCGCCGAAAGAGGTTTTTGGGTTTTGGGGAGTTAGAGCCAAATAGCGAGCGTAGCAGTTGGCAGGCCATGAACCTTGGGTGCTTTATTGCAGTGGCAGTGAGACGCTTGCAGTGTCACACCCCAACTCCCGAACGCTCCCAAACTCTCGAAAATTTGGGACCTGAAAGCCCACCTGGAGCGGAACCTCCACACCCCAAACCCCAAGCCTGAATGCTTCAGGGAACCCTGGCCCCATTACCCCAAACTAGTAGGATCCATATAAGGAACCCTAATACAGGCCCAAGGTTTCTTAATCAGGTTCCTACATCAAGCCTCCCCAAAACCTTTATAGTACCCTCAAAGTATCTCATAGTACCCTTGAAAGGAACCCTTATGGAACCCTAATACAGGCCCGGGGTTCCTTCATTAGATGGGAAGACTCATCGTAGCTGCGAGGTGGACCGGCTGGAGTGAGGCCAAAGTGGCCGCAGGAAGTCGGTCCAAAAACGGCGGAGCTCTGAGGGTCTAGCCTTGGGTTGAGGGTTGAGGGTCTTGGTTTAGGGTTGAGGGTTTTGGGACGCCGAGGTGGTGGGAATGGGGCGTTCAACATAGGGCCGAAATAATCACCTACACTATTTTGGGGGTTCCTTATTATACTTATAGTATAATGGGCCCCCCCCCCAAGCCCTATTCTGATTATTAAGGCCCCCCCCCTTTATTAGGCTTTGAGGACTTTGGGGTCGGGATGACATGCGCAGCCGAAGTGTAGGAGCTCTCATGCGAGATCAATTCGGTTCCGAAACTTCCCAGCAGACTCTTTTGTGAGCGACGTGCTTGAGCAATTTCGTCAACTCTTTTGGCACAAATCAGCTGTCTGAATACAAGGTTGCTGCTATATGAAGGCAGTATGAAACATCATGAAGCTGTGGGAGCAGACATGGCTGTCCATGCTCTGATCATGATTATGTTCATTCCTACTCCAAGAGGCCCAGGGACCGGCCCGTCGATACCTTTGGCGGAGTTTTCCCAGAGACCAGACCGACTTCCGACAGAGCCATGGCGATGCAAGCGGTGGGGCCTAAATCGGCCCGCATCCCGAAGAGTTGATGCGACTATTTGCGCAGCTCTCACTCTCACTCTCTGTCACTCTCTGTCACTCTCTGTCTCTGTCTCTGTCTCTGTCTCTGTCTCTGTCTCTGCCTCTGCCTCTGCCTCTGCCTCTGGCTCTGGCTCTGGCTCTGGCTCTGGCTCTGGCTCTGGCTCTGGCTCTGGCTCTGGCTCTGGCTCTGGCTCTGTCTCTGTCTCTGTCTCTGTCTCTGTCTCTGTCTCTGTCTCTGTCTCTGTCACTGTCTCTGTCTCTGTCTCTCTCTCTCTCTCTCTCTCTCTCTCTCTCTCTCTCTCTCTGCTCTTTCCGTAAAGATGTACACGGCCGTGCTCACTTGTGCATGCATGCATGTAAGTAGGTATAGGCTGGCAGGCAGGTAGGTAGGTAGGTGGCAGGCATCCATGGATGCATTCATGAAGGTGGTCTCTGCATTTGGGCATCTGTGTAAGTGTGTGCGTGCTGCGTGCATGCACATGGCATACGTGTTTGTATGTCGAGATAGAGATACGGGTCCAAGCGTGCGGTAGGTTGGTGTTCATGTACCGAGGCAACAGATATTGGGAAAATGTAGTACTACATCTGCAAGCTGGGCATATCGACTTGAACATGTGCCATTCTACCAGTTTTCCACTCTTATGTTCGCACCACACGATACTCCGCCCAGGCTCCTGGCGAATTTTCAAGAAACCACGTGAGATCTGGTGCCCATAGTGCTAGGACCGACAGAGTCTGCAACACATGGACAAGGCGAACTTTACGGCCATTGTTACATACTCGGTTACGATAAGGAACCCCCAAGACATTATAGGTCATTGTTAAGGCCCATATGTGGTTTGTCGCTGATGTTGAGTCTGTGTGCTCTGTACTTGTCGGGTTGCCCAGGCGCCCCTGGGCTACCAAGCCTTGTCCAAGCCTTGGAAGCGGCAGTGTCCGGGGTTCTAAAGTGGCAATCGTGTGCGGCTTGGTGTTTCAGGATTGATGTCGGGTAAATCATTGGTGTTGTTCTACCTATCCGGAATACGGCCCTGTAGTCAGACATTGAGCTGTTGGAGGAGTTGAATGTAGCATTACAAGTACTTGTACATCTGTGTTTACGACGATGACAGTTGCTGCTGCTGTTGCTACTGCTTCTTAGTACTACTATCGCCACCACGACTCCTACTCCTGCTCCTGCTGCTACTACTGTCCTACTACTCCTGCTACTCCTACTCTCCTACTATTCCTACTATTCCTACTATTCCTACTACTCCTACTACGCCTACTACTCCTAGTGCTCCTACTACTCCTACTACTGCTACTCCTACCAATCCTAGTTCTCCTACTCCTCCTACTACTCCTATACTACTCCTACTACTCCTACTACTCCTACTACTCCTACTACTCCTACTACTCCTACTACTCCTACTACTCCTACTACTCCTACTACTCCTACTACTCCTACTACTCCTACTACTCCTACTACTCCTACTACTCTTACTACTCCTACTACTCCTACTACTCCTGGTACTCCTACTACTAACTACTACTACTACTACTACTACTACTACTACTACTACTACTACTACTACTACTACTACGACTACTACTACTACTACTACCACCACTACTACTACCACTAGCTACTACTACTGACGTTTACAATACTTTACTACTGGTACTATTACTGCTGCTGCTAGTTCTTCCGCCGCCGCTGCTGCTAGTGGTACCGTCGCGATTATAGTTGCTACAAGTATCACCACGACTCTCAGTGTTATTGCTGTTTTCGTTGATAAACATTTTTACTTGTTTCTTTTCAGTGCTGCGGCAGGAGTAGTAGGAGTAGGTACTTGGTAGTTGGAGCAGGTATACGGTCACCCATAGCTGGGTTGCAAAGGGCAGCAAGAGCCATGGCAAACTAAACTGGTGAAAATAACTGCCGCCATAATCTCTTTCGTGCCTCACGTGTCATCGCGTTTTCTTGATGGTCGTCGTCCAAGTCGGCAGCGATTGCAAGGTCCACGGCGATCGTGAAGTCCCAGTCGACGCCCACTCTGCACAGGCTGCGGCCCGGGTTCTGGTTCTAGGCTCGGAAACGGTTTAAGGGCTTAGAGTTTGGGGTATCTTTCTGGACTTGCAGGTCATGTCTCGCGGTCGCAGTTAGGTTGTGAGTGTCCCTGTTCCAGGCCTTGGCATTTCCTGGCACCTTTCCCGCAAGACCTCCGTGCTAGTGGGAGCTGCCCGGGTCCAGCCGTCCCCCATTCACGTCCGAACCGCGAGGCCAACGATGGGAAAGACGGGCCGGCACCCAAGCTACTCAAGCAAGCATGGTCAAGAGTGGAACGACGACCTTGACCGCAAAGTTCCCCTGACTCGGTCTTGTTTCGCCATGACGTAAAGCGGTGCAAGACTGAGGTGGCGCTTTTGCCCAGCAGAGCCAGGACGGTCGAGTTTTTTTGTCCTTGTGGTCCCTAACCCTAAACCCCATATGCCCCAAACCATAAATCCCATGAGCCCGAAACGCTAAATCCCATAAGCCCCAAACCGTAAATCTCATAAGCCCCAAACCGTAAATCTCATAAGCCCCAAACCCTAAACTCCATTTGCCCCAATCCCATAAGCCCCAAACCCTAAATCCCATAAGCCCCAAACCCGAAGTCCCACAAGCCCTACAGCCGACAGTACCATAGATCCCATAAGCCCCCAACCCCAAATCTGAAAGCCCTGGCCAGGCCCTCATGTCCACCGGAGCCTTGATGACCCTCAGTGGATCGGTCCGGCTCCAAGTTCCGTTGCAGGGGGCTTTTTTTGCCGAGCTTTGTGGACCTAAACCCTATGACTATACCCTGAACCCAGGCCTGATGCAGTCTTATGCGGGTGTGACTGGAGTTTGTGCAGTCTCACAGAGATTTGTTGGGGGGCGTTTACCGCCTTTCGCAGGGTTTTTCGGAGCCCGTGGCTCCCATACTTTTGAACAAGTCTTGTAACTAAGAATATACTTTCAATTATAGTAGGATCCGGAAGATGGTTTATAGTTAAGGGATATTGGAGTCTCTGGGTTCACCAGGTTCCTACATGTCAGGCCTGGTGAAGGTAAGCTTCTTCTGGTTGCCAGGGTTTCCGCTCTCCGAGAAGAGAGCCCAATGCCCTTGTGAAGGAACTCAGTCTTGTGATTTCATGAAAAAGCATACGTACCTTTAGCAGGTATCTTGCTTCATGTAACCCTGAATTAAGGGGTGTTGTGCTCTCTGGAAGTCCGACTCGAGTCTCTGAAGATGCCCCGAGGCAGATGGCAAGCTTTCTGGCCGGACGGTGCGCCGGAGGAATATGATATTATCAGACGGACTCTCATAGGACATCTGAAAGGAGTCCTGTAAAGGAACATGAGTATATCAGGTTTTTGGGGGTCTGTTTGAGCCGAACTATAAAGGGACCAGAAGGGGATACTAGCACTGATTCTTGAGCCGGGTTGGTTTACCATCATCCGCTTTAATATACACCACCCACAAGCAGCATTAAGTTCAGTACCAAGACGCCGTCTTCGTATTGGCTTTATTAAACCCTGAACCCCAAACTAAACCCTAAACCCTAAACCCTAAACCCTAAACCCTAAACTGTAAGCCCTAAACCCTAAGCCCCAAATCGCAGGCTGCCGTTAGCGAGGCCCCGTTACACCCTGTCGCGGGGGCAGAGACTCGAAGGGCTCCTGAAGGGCTCCTTGGAGGTTTCCTTTAAGGTAAAAGCCAGAAAGTTGGAATATGATTATCCTAACCCGTCTATGGTAAGTTATAGGGTATCCTACCATGAAACCATATTCCAACTTTCTGGAGTTCCCTTTAAGGGTTCAGGGGTGTAGAACAGGGTGCCCTTAATAGTCCTCATATGATTATAGTCTAATAGACACTGAAGCCATATTCCAAACCCTAAACCCTAAACCCTAAGCCGAAGTATTCGAATACGCAACAAAACGGCCCGTGGCCCGTGGCACCATGGGCAGCCTTACGGTTTCCCAAGCTTCCCTGGCAGACAGCTCCGACGGCTGAGTCTTAGTCTCAGCGTTCGCAAGACGAAGACAGGAAACTGTATTTTTCACTATAGATGCACTCTCATGGTAGCTTAATTCCAGCTTCTTAGCAAGAGATCCCGAATCCCGCAGTGTGATCGCCTAAGCTTCCGAACACCATTTCGATAGGTCTCCACCGGTTGCTGGGGCGATGGCCCGAAAAAGTCAGGCACGTCTTTTCGACGAGGGGGTTGGGTTCAGGGGAATGCTTTGCAGATGATGGACGAAATGACGAAAGGGCTCGATACTGTTAAACTCTCCGTTGCAGAGACATGTGAAGCGGGTGTTGCCCGTGGGTTTGCCCAAAGCATAAACTAAGCGCTATTCCTA